AAAGGGATTCCCAGTTTGGAGCTGTGGTAGAATACTGGGCTGTTCTAACTGGGTCCCCTGACAACCCCCCCCCCCAGCCCCCCGTCCCTGTGACCTCATCATTCAAACCTGATGCATATAACATGAGTGTGTGTCTCTGAGTGGGAGTAGACACTGAAATCCTCACCACTATACACTGCTGCTCTACAGATGTGATCATGTGTTGGCGGGGATACGGGGGTCGGGGGGGTGTCATTACCAAACTTCTGTAAAGCTCTGACAGCATTGACACTAAGGTGACAGTGATTTACTGGTTCACTGCTCACCACCATCATGATAAAATGTGGCCATAGCCAGAGGTCAGGGGTCATCGTCGTTCTCCAGCTCCAACATTCTGCAAGTTTGTCACTGAAGAAGCCCCATGTCAGAACAACAACACTTCAAAATGATAGTTACTAGTATTTTTATTTTGCAACTGAACATGACAAATTATTAAATAATTAAAGTGATGTGGAAACAGAAATAGTTTCATTGGTCTAGTTTCACACACATGATCAGTTACAAATGTCTCTCTTTAGAATCTAGAAGCACGAACGCTTGTGTCATCTCCACAGTGAGGCGCCGACCTTCTACGAGGAGACTTTGAACAGGTGATCCATAAAGGCTTTGGTTACATGATTGTCTTAGTGAGCTCATTCAGGATCATCCTTGGGGATGTGGGGTGGTGGGGTACAGTCTCTCACACACAACTCCAGAAACACTGATCAGTTCCAGGAGGTGAAGTGGGAGTGGATCTTCACGCTAAAGATCTTAGCTGCATTCAAGAAATCAGAGGAAAATAAAAGAAAGATGTTTCTGACTTCACTAAGGAGACGTCTTCTCAAAGCAGCTGATACAGGAGAGACAGTCCAGATCTTGACTCTGTCCCTCTTCCTGTAAGATCACAGGATTCTTCCTCCTGATCCTCTTCCTCTTCTTCCCATAGTTGTCCCTGGTGGACCAATCAGGGAACTGCTGCTCGTGCAGACGCCTCAATCTGTCGGCCTCGTGGAAGTATTTGTCTTTTTGTGGTTGCAACAACATTCTCCAGCGTTGTCCCAGCTCCGTGTTGACCACAGCGTTGTCAGTGATCTTCAGCTCAGTCACCACGTTGGGCCTCTGCTCCTTCATGTAGAGCATGAAGGCGTTGGGAGGCTTCTTGATGTAGGGACGCCCGTCGTCCTGCTGCCGGTGACGTCTCTTTTTGACAGGGTTGGTTGGTAGAGGAGGAGGAGGAGGAGGAGGAGGAGGAACTGTGGCAAAGATGGTGGTGAAGGCCTCAGCGGGAAGGCTATAGACCACTTCTCCATTCACTGTTCCCACTGGAACCATGTTGGCCAGTGTGGGGCCAACCATGGACACCGACGGCAGACTTTGGTGGTCTTCAACTGTTGGTTTATCTGGAACAGCGGGCAGAGGTGGTGAAGGGTGGCCATAACTCCAGGGCTCAACTTTGACAATGGAGTTGGAGGGTGGAGTTACAGGATCTAGACAGGGTTCGGGTGGGACAGTGGATTGAAAATTTGAGGGGTGAAGGTGGGGGTCAAACCACTGGTCAGTAAGAACATTAGGAGGAGGAAGAGAAGGAGGTGGTTGTGGTGAGGGACCAGTCGTGAAGAGAGGGTTGTAGACAGGAAAACTGTACACCACCTCTCCATTCACGGTTCCCACTGGAACCATGTTGTCGAATGTGGTGCAGGACACTGGACCTGTTGGGACATAGTCCTGGTCAACCTGGGGCTCTTCTGAGAAGAAAGGTAGAGGAAGTTGGGGTGGGGGGAGGAGGTAACTGTGTGATTTGGGTGGTTCTTCAGAGTGGAGAGATGGAGGTGAAGGAATGGCAGATGTGTCTGACAAAAACACGTCCAGAAAGGCCTGGAGATGGTCTGGTTCTTCACTCCGGCGTATGGCATTAATGTTGAACTCGAGTTCTGTCACAAGGTCCATCCTTTTTGTGTTGGGTGGTGTAACCAAGTGTTTGAGTGAGAAACGAACAAGAAAAGGGCCCAGAACAGTTGAGTCAGACTGAACGATGGGAAGAAACCTCTGACCTAGAACAGGACTGTTACGATTCCTCTGTGTATACCTGTCTGTTGAAAGCAGCTTCTAGAATGTAAAGTTCACCAGAACTTAGCAGTTGATGGAGGTCTGGACTGGAACCCAGTGCCTACATTTAAAAACATCAGAACTGACATAGAGCTTAGTTGGATGGATAGTTGGATGGATGGTTGGACACCTGTGAGGTCAGTGTTTTAAATGTTTCTCTGCTCGTGGACTAGTCCAAACCTTGGTTGGTTCCACTCCACTGTATTTCCTGGTACCTCATTGACTCCCTGGTCCTTGGTCTGCTCTCGTTTCCTCTTCTCTCCCTCTGGTTCTCCTTTCAAAATGAGTTTTTTCTTCTTCTGCCAGTTCTCCACAGCAGTTCCTGGTCTCCTGGTCCACCACATAGGTTCAACAATCATAAACAGTTCCCTGGTTGCAACCCAGGCAGCAGCAACAGCAACTCTGGCCAGTTAACTCTTCAGTTTGTTGCTGCCCTCCCTCCCCCTGTGCACCTCAGTCCATTTCCTTCTTGTTCTATTCTGTGGTAGAAAGACATCAAAGTTACATTCTTTAGCTAGCCTATGATCTTTGTCAGGACCTTCTTTAATGTTCTCCACTGGTTGGCATGGTAACTTCAAGCAGATCAAAGTACATTTATTGAAGAGGAACCATAAGTGTTGAGGACATTCTGAGAGCGGGGCCTTGGGGGAGGGGGGAGGTAAGTTGATCAGGGCTGGTTTTATTGGAAGAAACAGATCATATGATTCAGAATGGGCCTCAAAAATCCAAAGAAGAAGATGAAGAAGAGATTTTGAGATTTTAAGATCCTCATCTTAAAATCTCCTCATGAGCCTGCTGCTGTTCGGTGTTCTTGATCCAGCCTCAGTATGGGCGTCACACTCAGGACAAATAACACTTTCACACACACCAAGTCAATGTAGGAACTGTGCAAACTGCAGTTCACTGTCTGCCACCTGGCACAATAGGTTCTCATCAGCCCACTGTTGTTCAAACATGTCAATACTGTGTGTGATCCTGTGGAAAAGAAACTCCAGCCTCAGTCGATGGAGCTAGAACAGTCTCAAAAAGAATAAACGCACAAACAAGGATTCACAAATGTATTTGGAATATTTACAAATGTATTCTGAAAATTCACAAATGTATTCATGTGAAGATATTTGTTCGTTTCATAAAATACATTTGTGAATTGTCTAACTCATTTATAACATACTTTTTTTTTAAAGGGTTAGATTTTTCCAGGGAAGGTTCTTTCATCTCTCTGTTTGTCCCATTTCTGGATCCAGGGTGATGGGCAGATGGACTCATGTACCAGTCACAGGACGTGATGTCCTGTCCTTTGGCCTTTGTTGCTTTCTGGCAGCAATGATAGTCCAGGTAGTTGAACCAGCACTTCCTAGTGTTGTTCCGGTTGGGGAATCTGACCCAGGATTGGTGACCATCCTTTACTGAATCCTAGTTTCAACTAGATGATGATCCTCCTCCTCTTCCTTTACAGCATCCTGTAATAGTAATGTGTTCTTCCCTCCATGGGACTCCCCTTTGTTCTACTCACACACTGCAGATGGTTTTACCTTCAAATCCAAATAATGACAAAAGAACCTTTCTGTGTGTTAACGTGGAGAAAGTGGAGCATCTGAGGAAGCTTTGTTTTTACAGAAAGGAACGGTTGAAATGCCGTCGGTGACAATCAAACATCAGTTAAGAAGACACTGAAGTACCAAGGAACGGAGACAGGCGTCAGAACATCAACTGTCAGCAGATGGAAGAGGGTGATTTAGAGGAGATGAGGGACACAGTGAAGTACGGACACAGATGTTCACAAGTCTCCATTGAGCATATGGACAGACATACACACACGCGATTGAACATCTGACCTTCCTGCTGTAAGGCTAGAGCACTTACCATCCCTATAAGTGACTCTGTTTGTTGCCAATAATAAAAATATATATTTTCCTGTATGTGAGTCTGAACTGAAGGAGCTGTGGAAACAGAGGAGACTTTCAATCAGGTCATATGGTTTTCTCTCTCCACGTCCCATTCGTCTGAGTGTGTGAGTGTGTGTGTGTGTGTGTGTGTGTGTGTGACACACTGATCTCCCCAGGGTTGGTTCAATATGCTGCCCATGTTGTTATGGCCTAAACCTTCTGCGACAGAGGGGCAGATCCAGAGGTGGCATCTGCTTACAACACACACGCGCATCTCTAATGCCCCAGGTGCATTATGGGGGCTGAGTTAACCCAGAAGGCAATTTGATGCAGAGCAAATAATGTTGAGAAAAGGTCAGAGCAGTTTGAGAGAATTTTATTGTTTTCTGTGATGGTGCACGTCTGCAGCCACGTGGACCAGTACTGACTGTGGGTCAGGTGGGACACATGGTATAGCCTACCATGGGTCTCTTCTGGACTAGTTTAAGTTCTGCACTAAGGATTTGGGATTTTTTCAATATTCTTATTCTTTTCAAAAGCTATAACAAACAGAGCAGATTTTGGTTTTTCCTCTAGATGGCGCTATAATCAATCATTGACTCATCTTCCTTTAGGATGAACAAAGACTGCTTTTTCTGAACATGATCTTAAATCAGCAGACAGGACATGATGACAGAAGCAGAGAGAGAGAGAGAGAACCACAACCATAACGGTGGCTCAGGACTGCAGTCCAGGACTGAGAGTGATCTGTGATATGAGCTGGGTTATAAAGAGTCAGGGTTACAGAGAGAAGATGAGGGGAAGGAGGAAACGGGGGTGGAGGGAGGATCAGGTAATCCCCACCAGAGTGGCTCACTGAGGAAAGACAAGGAAGAAAGAGAGGAGAGGAGAGAGAGGGGGCTTGGGGATGGGGTGGGGTTAGCTTCAGTGCTAAAGTAAAGTGTTAGCACAGGCTAATGTCTGCTAAGTGCTGGTGCAGAGGACAAGGTGAAGAGCCAGTGATTAGAGAGGGAACGTTCCCAGCTGTCTGACGGAGGAACCTCTCACAGAAGGTCACATCCATCACTGCTGTCACCTCAGCAGGTTAATGGAGTCGGCCTCACTCTGGGCCTTCAATCATTAGGGCTGCTACAACTAACATAAACATGTCTAATAGACTATTAATTGACTCCATTTACCAAACATGTTGGTGGCGTCTGGGTCAGGGCTAACTGTTCCAGGGAGGAGCTGGAACAGATTCTTACCTCACTGACGGTAGGTTGTAGCCATGATGATGATGATGATGATGATGATGAAACCCTGATGTCCCAGGAGATCTAAGGAGAGAAGAAGACCTGTGTGTCATAGAACACCTTAAAGAACAGAAATACTAAATATTTCATCAAGTACTAGTTCATTCATTTATTCACTACTGGCCTGATGATAACCATCAGACAGCTGAACTTCTACAGACCTGTGGCTACTGTAGGTACTGCAGCTGCTGCCTCTGCTGCAGGGCATTGAGCTGTTAGGAGTCTTAATTACCCCACTGGGTCATTAACAGCCTGACTGGTGTAATCCTGACCTCAACATTAGCACACACACACACACACACACACACACAGACACTGGTCCTGAGGTGGTGATATTGACAGGCACTCCTGACCTGATGTCCAGTCTCTTCATCATCATCATCATCACCTCAGGCCTGTGTAATCCTCCAACAGACTTACGTTGAGGATCATTGTTTCTCTGTGTTGTACATGAATCTGGGTCGATCAGGTATTGATGTGTCTTTGGCTGTGTGTGTGCACCTGTTTGTGTGTGTGGGCACGTGTGTGTGCACCTGCATACACATGGCTCGGCTTCATGACGATTCGTGATTTGAATTGAATTTGAGCATGAACATCTGCCTCTAGTGGTAGACTGGAGAACACTCCAGGATATACCCCAGCTTCAAATGATTGTGATTGGCTCCACCCCCCCCCCCCCCCCCCAGCCCTTAAAAAGGGTTAAACAGTTCCTGATAAATAATAGTGGTTTTCAAAATAACTGAATGGCACTTTACTAAAGTAACATTAAACCATTAAAGCAGATATAATGAGATGGATCAGTGGATTTTGGTCAAAATGTCTAAAATCAAACCATGATAAAATGACACGGTGACTTCAGTGAGTGGTTCAATCTCTACTGTGGAAACACACTGATGGTCTCCTCCTCCACCTCCTTCACTTCACTTCATTCATGTGAAACAGTAAACACTGACACAGGGACACGGCAGCTGACAGTTCACACACACACACACACACAACATTGGCCAATCAGATGGTTTCTCTCCTTCATGGTGATTAAAATGACCGCTTGTTTAAAAGACCAAGAAGGCAGAGAAAATAAAACTTGGCTGAGGGGCAAACTCTGCATTAAAAATCATAAACCCTAAATGAACACACACACACACACACAGGGACCGACACACACTCAGAGGAGGAAATAGAGTCTGTCAGAAGCTCAGATCCATACTACAGCCATGGCCTGAGGCCCAGACGTTAAGGAGACAAATGGAGGGAAATGGAGTCTCCACAGCCGCTGCTCTGCTCTTCATCTTCACACTCACACCTTTAATCACACACACACACACAATCTGTCCTTAACACACAAAGCCAGGCCACAAGAACCACAAGGAAACACATTCTTAAACACAGACAGAAGAAAGAAGAGGAAAGAAATGTAGAAGAAGAAGATGATGAAGAAGATTTTGATTTTTCAAAAAACCTTTTATTAACAGGAGGTGTAAAAACTGTAAAGCACGAAACAGGTGCTCTGATAAAAACCTTCTGCCTGACTTCAGTTTCTCATTTGAATATGAAAATGACTCTGGAGGGTCAGAAATGTATGATGAAGTAGTGGAACAGACCTGCTCCAACTCCAGCCTGGCTGCAGGTCTCTACCCTCTTCCTCCTCCTCCTCCTCATCATCATCATCATCATCATCACCATCACCATCATCATCATCATCATCATCACCATCACCATCATCATCATCACATCATCATCATCGTCACTCCTCTGCCTGTCTCTGCACAGTGAGTGGGTAACACAGACAGTTAGGGTGGGGGTTTGGAGATGCCCATGTCATTCATTTCTCATGCATTGTGGGGTGGGGGTTTGGAGATGCCCATGTCATTTATTTAGCTCTCTCACAGGCATGTGTACGACGGAGACGAGCTGTGAAATGAAATTAGTTTAAGCCTGTTTTTAGGTTCCATCAGGCCCCAGCCTGGTTCTCCAAGGTCAGGAGGAGCTGTTAAATATTCATCCATGACCCCAGGTGCTCCCCTACGTACAGCCGCTGCTGTCACTGAAAACACACCCAGTAAGGTGGAGGGGGGAGGGGATACGTTCAACTTTGGGGGCAAAGACTAAAATGTCTTCTGCATGTGATCAAGGGACGTTCCTAACCCTGTTTTACATGTTCTCCCTGTCCTCATCCTCCTCCTCATTAGCATGTGCGTTCAGAGCTGCTCTTCTTCCACAGCTAATTAAAGATCTGCCCCCAGGAGGCGCTTCATTTATTAATACTTTTCTAAGTTCTGGGGCAACTTGGCAGCTGAAATACCAGAAATGGGCAAATACAGCT